AGATAGATAGATAGATAGATAGATAGATAGATAGATAGATAGATAGAACCCTTACATTTACAACTTAACCCAGGCTAAGGGTAGCTTGCCTGTAGCTAAAGGCAGTTACAGCATGAAGAATCTGGATAGGATGGTAGGACAAAGGGACCAAAGAAGCAGGGTGCTGATCAAAACAGACCATAGAGGAGGTATATTTGCTCTTAAAGTGGCAGGTCTTGATCTAACAGGGAGGCAGTTGGCAGATAGGTTCATGGTCAAGGACCACAGGTGGGAAGAGAAGTGGCTCCAGTAACAGATCCTGTGCCCCAGGGACAGCTCCACTGTAAGTGCGATGGTGCTCACTCATGACTGGTGCGATTCTCACGCTTGTTCCTGTTACACCAGACTCACGGCAGAGCTCCTGCGCCGGCTCTGCGCTGAGCCCCAGGTGAAGGAGCAGGTGAAACTCTACGAGGGCATCCCCATCCTGCTCAGCCTGCTCCACTCTGACCACCTGAAGCTCCTGTGGAGCGTTGTCTGGATTCTGGTGCAGGTGTGTGAGGACCCGGAGACCAGTGTGGAGATCCGTGTCTGGGGTGGGATCAAGCAGCTCCTTCATATTTTACAAGGGTAAGTGGGGGCTTGGGTCTTGAAACACAGTAGACTATTCTAGTAGTCCTTGCTTGTTTGTTTACTTGTGTTTTGAGACAGGGTCTCTCTACATAGCCTGGCAGCCCTGGAAATCATTACGTAGACCAGGTTGGCTTTACCTCCCAAGTACTGGGACAAAAGGTATATACCTCCTGTGTTAGGTAGTGTTTTGTTGCTGTGAAGAGGCAGCATGACCAGGACAACTCTTATTAAAGAAAACATTTAATTGGGGCTTATTTACAGTTCAGAGGTTTAGTTCATTATCATCATGGTGGGCAGCATGGTGGCATGCAGGCAGACATGGTGCTGGAGAAGTAGCTCAGAGGCTACATCTGGCTATGCAGGCAGCAGGAAGAGAGAGACACTGAGCCTAGCTTGAGCGTTTGAAACTCCAAAGCCTACTCCCAGTGGCATACTTCTTCCAGCAAGGCCATGCCTACTCCAACAAGATCAGATGTCCTAATGCTTTCAAATAGTGCCACTCCATATGAGCGTATGGGGGCCATTTTCATTCAGCCCCCCACTCCACACCTCCACACCTGCCTTCTAGGAGCTTCTATGCTATGAGCATAAAAAAGATGGTTTGTTAAAACAGATTGAAGTTGAAATTTGTTGGTAAATATTGCATTGTAACTACAAATTAAATATATTGAAGTGTTGGGGCCATCTTTGGGACTATTACTTAATATTATTATAGAGTGTAATTCAGCCCTAATGGTGCCACGTTAGAGCTACAGGTAGATACTTCTGCTCAAGAAAGACCACCATGCTTTTGCTCCCTGGTCCATCAATAAAGCTTATTCCAAGCTCTAGGGAAAATGGCTCATCCATTTTAACATTACTGCAGATTATCAAATCAATATGACTAAAACTTTGTACATATAATTCCTTTATGGATTTTCTCTGTGGGAATATTTCAGAACATTAGAAGAGACTGCAGAGATAGGAACAAGATGCTTCGTTAGTGATTTCTGTTATTTTAAAAACAAAGGAAGAGTTTATATCCTGATGGCAATGTTTTTACCGAAGCCTCACTTACTTGGAGGTATAGATGATAAATATTTCACAGTCTCGTGACACAAGAGGCTATTCCCTTGGAAAGAATAACTGCAAAGTTTGTGTGTGCTTTTAGGATGAAGATGATGGATGGAGTTATTTTCAGATAGATGCTAATGGTCTTAATAATGACTAAAATTCTAGAATAGTTAAGTGTTATATAGAGTTAATTATAACTCAAGGCATTTCCCCTCATTTGGTTAAGTCATAGATTTTATGTCACTGATAGATAGGAGTTTTTTTGTGTCTAAAGACTCAGGTTCCAACCCCAGCCATGGTATGGTGTTAAGAAACTTCTCCCGGAGAAGGTGATCTATGTCAACTCCTATTGGGAATTGTACCCAGGAATTTGGAAGGACTCACTCTCAGCTGTGTAAACAGTCTTTGCAGGCTGATGGTTCAGGCCACCTGGGGCAGGTGCTAGAGGAGGAGCTCCTTGGTAACTGGAGGCTCTCACGTTAACAGGGTATTGTCCAGGGCAGTTTTCAGGAAACCATTTAGGCCTGTACACCTGCAGCCTCCAACAACAGGCACACTTCTGATCAGGTGCTCTGATCACCACAGAGAGTTCCAAGATAATTATGTCTGCAGATAAGACCATCACAGGAACCGTTCCTTACCCCAGCTCAGGACAGAAAGAACAGAATGACCCAGATAGCATGTGGGGAAGGCAGGGAGATTCTATTTGTGTTTTGTGTGAGAACATACAGACCCAAACGGCTGATGTCACGAGAAAGAAAGAAATAACGTAACCATATAAACGAAAGGGAACAAACAGATAACAGATGTGAGTGTGCGGTAGGAAGCTGTGTACCCCATGAATTGCAGGCGAATGCAGAGCATGGATTTGTGAGCTGTGGTTGAAGCTGGAAAACGGACCTATAGAAAGCAGGAAGTCTTACAGCCAACATGGAAAATGAGGGCTGAGTGGCACCCATTGCCCTGCAGACTGACCAGGAGACTAGAACAGCTCTAAAAGTAGCAAAAAAGAGGGCATGCTTTAAAAATGTGCTTTCAGCCAGAGGAAAGAGGAGGAAGAGAAGAGACAAAAATGGCTGAGAGGTCCAGGGCCCAGGCCAAGGCAGGACTTCAAGCTGTGCTCATGGAGACTTCTATGGTGGGCAGTCAAAAAGGCAATGCTACGTGAAGATTCAGCAGGACTGGTTTTAACTAAGAAGAACTCGGAGGAATCCCAACTGAGACGCACCCAGAACTCGGAGGAATCCCAACTGAGATGCACCCACACAAAGACTGCAGTGCCCAAGAGCTGAGGCATGGGAGTGACAGGGAAGGTCAGGCAGGGCCTCTCATCTCACACTGCATACCTAACTTGGTTCTAACTGAATTTGCAGATGACGCAGTTAAGAACACAGAAATCCTTATGGCCCTGAGGAGGCAAAGCTTTCTACTTATTTGTTTGTTTGTTATACAAAATAGGAGTTTGTTATTTTGTTAAATTGTGTTTGAGGCACAGAAGAAAAAGAATAAATGGCTTGAACAATAATGTTCCTTTCATAGAGACAGAAATTTTGTTTCTGATCGTTCCTCCATTGGAAGCCTGTCCAGTGCAAATGCCGCAGGACGAATCCAGCAGCTTCATTTGTCAGAAGATTTAAGCCCTGGGGAAATCCAGGAAAATACCATTTCTCTCCAAGCAGGTATCTATATTATACAACTGGGTTTTGTTACTTAACCCTGCCTTATTTATTGTGCTGTTATTCCTCGTTATGACATTAGTTTAGTGGTGTTGAGTGTGCACAATTTACAGGATTCCACATGTGTAATGGTAAAATCCAAGTGGATTGCCAGAGCCTTCTCAGCACAAGTGTTGGCCTGGCAGGTTAATGATACAAGAGATGTGATCACTGCTAAGGCTGTATTCAAGTACACAGCTTGATCTGGTTGTGGGTATGGTAGGGGGCACAAGTTGAAAAGTAACCGACACAAGACAGGCTTGCTTTGTTCACAGCCTTTTCTTTTGGAGAATAGAGGAGAACTTTCTTCAGAGATTGTGAGGGCAGAGAACTAAGATCTTCCTCCCTTTGGCATTTGTGTGCCCTTAGGAAGCACTGTACTTCTACTCGGTTTAAAGGTCTCCCAGAGTCCATGAGACCTGGTCTCGGAGCCCCTGGTCATCTGGGTGTTCGCACGGTGTTTGAGTTGGCAGTACTCACAGGGATTATAGGGAGAGACAGTTCCTAGAGAGGGACACCAGAAGCTTGGGGGCTAGATTTCCCCGTGTATTCTGTTTGGTGGGGTACCTGGGATGCATGTAGATTGTCTTGTGGAGTTGTGTACAGCACATGGTTTTGCCTGGCATCACCCCTTTCACATCCAAGTAAGAACGATAAGCAGTTAGTGGAGTCTGAGTATTTCCTCCACCTAGATGGACAGCCATGTGTCCATAGCTATGTTCCTCAAGTTCCCTAGGCTTTAACTTTGCTCACGTGAAATTTGATGACAAGTTAGGTATTACAGCCAGTAGAGCGTTGTGAGAATTACATGGCGATGTGTGGAAGTGCTCAGCATAGCAACCTGTGGAAGGGTCAGGAGGAGGAATTGTGTCTCAGTGTACAATGCCACCAGCGTCAGCCAGGAAGCAGGAAGGGCACTGCTTAGGACTCCTGGCCCCTGTTGACTGGCAGTCTGTCACCTTCTCTGAAACTGTAGAACATAGTTGGATCACCAGGATTTGGGGACTGTTTCAAGAACAGCCATTCATTTGTCCACCAGTTTATTGTATTCCTGGTAGGTGCTGGGCACTCGGTGGGTACTGGGCATTTATGATAGGTTTGATTGCTTCCCTCCTAGCCTGCTGTGCTGCCCTCACTGAGCTGGCCCTCAATGACACCAATGCCCACCAAGTGGTTCAGGTAAGAACATCATGACTGGCCGCCTTGGGTTGTAGTTTATATTCCAAATATTGTTCTTAGGCTCCATCATGTAATTTAAAAAATATTTTAACATTTCTTATTTAGCTTGTAAAATTTCAGTTTATATTTCCCTCCTTCCTCAGTTAACTCAGTTGAAATATGCTCTAATTTGCTTTCCTGTTATGATAAAACACAGACTAAAAGCAGCTTCAGAGAGAAAAGGGTCTATTTGCCATATGCTTCCAGGTAACAGTCCATCACTGAGGAAAATCAGGGCAGGAACTCAAGGCAGGAACTTGGAGGCGGGAATGGAAAGACAGGCCATGAAAGGGTTCTGTTCTCTGACTTGCTCCCTCTAGTGTGTCTCTGTCTTCTTTCTCATGCAACCCAGATCTGCATGCCTCCGGGTGGCACTGCCCACAGTGCGCTAGACCCTCCTAAACCAACTACCAATCAAGAACATGTACCACACACTCACCAGCTGATTGAAGCATTTCCCCCAGATAACTCAGCTGTGTCACTTCCATAGCTGAAACTAAATAGAACCTAGGAAGGACTGGCTGAGGATGGCTGATGTCAGCATCTCCTCCCTGCCTCACTTGCAGTCCATTTCATTTGGTTTCTTGTTGGGGTGATTCCCTCCTGATGAATTTTACAGAAGAACAGACAAATAGCTGCAAGTTCATCTTCAGAATCCATGGTGGATGCTGGGGTGAGATAAGCCACAGGGCAACATGGTTGGTGGGAAGAACAGCCAGCTTGGGCACAGTTCCTGTTGTCATGGCTTGCTGGCTTCAATTCAAGAAAAAAAAAAAAGTGTTTCCACCTCTCATGAGTTTACTCATGAATTATAAAATAATCTGCAGGGTAGCTATAGCTATAAGAGTTAGATTCTGTGAGGCAGATAACATGTCCACATGACCATCCATTCATAGCTGGCAGAAAGCTGAAACACGCTTCTACCTTCTATTTACCTCCACATGTATGTTGGGGCAAGTCCAAAACACTGCTGTTCAACAGCTGATTTCTTTAGAAATTTTTACTTTGTCTTTCTTTTTTCTTTTCTTTTCTTTTCTTTTCTTTTCTTTTCTTTTCTTTTCTTTTCTCCTTCCTTCCTTCCTTCCTTCCTTCCTTCCTTCTTTCTTTCTTTCTTTCTTTCTTTCTTCTTTCCTTTCTTTCTTTCGAAGTGCTTTCATAGCATTTATTTTGTCTTTTAAAAATCCTTTGTGGAGAGAAAGCTGAACATTTTCTGACATGACCAAGTAACACACTACGTAGTCACTGTAGTTATAGCAATCAGTTCTCTGTGGATCACTGTATCAAGAAGTTTCACATAGTGAGGTTAACGGCAACACATGTTGAACAGTTGTGTGATTCTTGCAGATCTGTAATACTGTAGTATGTGATGTGACTTGATGGGCAAAGTGCTCATGGCACAACACATTCTTGCGTAGGATATGGGATTCAACTGTTTTAACTGAATGTCTTTTTTTTTTTTCTTAAAAGTGCTTATTTTACAATGGTTAATCTCTAGGTGTTCTCTACCAAAATAAAAAGGGAGGAAGTATAGTTGTATAGTTTGAATTTGGTACTTTGGGGAGTGGGTGTGCACCTGTGTTTTCATGTGTCCATTCATTCATGAATGTGGGCGCACATGATGTTTATGTGGAGGCCAGAGATACCATTTATCAGGAGATGTCCACTTTTTGAAAAAATGTAAAATGAAAACAATGATACATGTATGGTATGTGTATGTCTGCGTGTGGGTCTGTGTGCATGACAGTGCGGGTGCCCCTGAGCCAGAAGGGGCATCAGATCCCCGGAGCTGGAGTTGCAAGTGCTTGTGAGTCACCAGCTTTGGCGCTTTGGACCAAACTCTGGTCATGGGCAGGAACAGTGTGTACTTCTTGTTGCAAGCTGCCTTTCCATCGCCCTACCTTGTTTACGAGGCAGGGTGTCTCATTGGCATGGGGCTCACTGATTCAGCTAGACTGGCTGGCCAGTGATACACAGGGATGCCGCTGCCTCTGCCTGTTCAGCACTGGGATAACAAGCGAGCCTCTTCCCCCAGCTTAGCACTGCTCTGGGGACTTAATGCAGATCCTCATGCTTGTGTGGCAGGCTCGTCAAGGACTGCACTATTACTCCAGCCCCACTGTGTGAATACAATGACGCCTGAATTCCTTTATTCTGCTTGCTCATATTCTATACTCCTTTTCATAATATTTAAATCACTTTAAATTTATGTAGCTCATTATGTAATATTATTATATAATACTGCCTTGAAAAAAATTAAGGTTGCTTGAAGTATTTGGCATATAAAACTATTGCACTGATACTTTTAGTATTGTTCTTACTGTTTGTTTATGCTATTGTCAGGCTATTTTACTGCTTCTGAATGCTTGTCTCTCCCCATTGCTACTGATTAGTGATAATATGACCTCTCTATTTTTCCAGGAAAATGGTGTATATACAATAGCAAAATTAATTTTACCAAATAAACAAAAGAATGCAGCAAAAACTAATCTACTACAGGTAATAAGTCTGTCTGTGGTTTTTTTTATGTCCAGGTACTGAAATATGGGGAGCCTTTAATAAAATAATGTGTACTTTTGGGGATTGTTCAGGTTAGCACTGGGCCCTATGCAAACTCTAAGCCAATTGTGTGGTGATGGAGTCTGTGTGAAAACCAGTGACTCCAAAAAGTATGAAAGGACCACACCTCCTTTGTGTGTGACATAGGTAGCTTAGTCAATGGCTTCTTTGTTCATCAGTTGGTTGTACTTTTAAAAAACATCTTCTTTATATATCAGAATATAACAACAATGGAAAAATGGTTGTCCTCTTTAAACATGAGCCAAAGTCACCCATATTTTGCCTTTGAAAAGGAAAGCCCCGGGGATGTCTTTGATGGATATGAAGGAATTTAAAAGGGGAAGCTTCTGGGCTCCAGGGAGGATGGGATCTCCACAGGAGGGGTATCAGCAGGGTAGAGTGCTTGGGTGGCATGGTGAGGAGCTTGGGTTGTGTGTCCTGGGACAGAGTGACAAAGGCAAAAAAGAAACCCACTGACCTAGAAAAGATAATCCTGAGTGAGGTAACCCAGAAGCAGAAAGACACACATGATATATACTCACTTATAAGTGGATATTAGACATATAATATAGGATAAACACACTAAAATCTGTACACCTAAAGAAGCTAAACAAAAAGGAGGACCCTGGGTAAGCTGATCAATCCTCATTCAGAAAGGCAAATGGGATGGACATCAGAGGAGGGAGAAAACAGGGAACAGGACAGGAGCCTACCACAGAGGGCCTTTGAAAGACCCTACCCAGCAGGGTATTAAAGCAGATGCTGAGACTTAAAGCCAAACTTTGGGCAGAGTGCAGGTAATCTTATGAAAGAAGGTGGATAGAAAGACCTGGAAGGGACTGGAACTCTATAAGGAGAGCAACAGAACGAAAAAATCTGGGCACAGGGGTCTTTTCTGAGACTGATATTCCAATCAAGGTCCATGCATGGTGATAACCTAGAACTCCTGCACAAATGTAGCTCATGGCAGCTCATTCTCCAAATGGGCTCCTTAGGAAGGGGAATAGAGGCTGTCTCTGACATGAACTCAGTCGCCTGCTCTTTGATCACCTCCACCTGTGGGAGGAACAGCCTTACCAGGCCACAGAGGAAGATAATGCAGCCTGTCCTGATGAGACCTAATGGGTTAGGGTCAGATGGAAGGAGAGGAGGACCTCACCTATCAGTGGACTGGGGAAGGAACATGGAAGGGAAAGAGGGAGGGAGGGTGGAATTGGGAGGGGCAGTGGGAGAGGCCTACAGCCGGGATACAAAGTGAATAAATTGTAATAAATAAAAAATAAAAATAATTAAAAAATAATAATAAAAAAACCCACTTACGTAGGCTCCTTTGAGCTTTTCTGAGGAGTGAGCATTAGGGGTCTTCCCAGTGACACTAGAATGACAAAAGCCACTTGTGGAGTTGCAGTCTGTTATTCTTACTAAGTCACAAGAGGGAATAGAACAGTATTGAAGGTCAATGTTTGAGGATGTGCATGTTCCGCCTCACACAACATACAATGCACATGTGTGTGAAGACAGCATATACTTCCCCACACTTGTATACAGTTTCCATGTTTTTATGTATCTGTTCAAAAAGAAGATCATTTTTAAAAGGGCTTTAATATTGTTATCTGACATACTGCCCAACTCTTGCACAGACTCTTGGTCCTGCTGTGTGCAGCTAGGCAAAGGGTATGGAGAGCTACCATGAGAACCTGGGAATGTTGGGCTTCCTCTAGTGAGTTCAGATTCACAACATTGCCCTGGACAGCACAGGCAGTCAGCTGTCATGAACATGAGCTTTGTTAAGCCAAGAGAGGTTTTAAAACTCCAGCTGGAAAGGGTTCCAAGAGTACAGTTCTCCAAACTCCCTTGTCTCCACCCATTTCTCTAGGCCCCTTCATGTCGCTTTTGTTCTCTGTCAGACTCTGGGCAGCTTTGTTTGGGCCTTCTACATTCATTTCAGTTTTATGAAATGATCCCAGGTCTCCAATTCAGCAGACCACAATCACGTCACTGGTCATCTGTGACGTGATGTACCTGCTCACTGGCTTGCCTACTCTCCCTGTCCCTCCCCTCCTGTCCTAGTTAGGGTTTCTGTTACTGTGGTGAAACACCTTGATCAAATGCAAATTGGGAAGGGAAGGGTTATTTTCTTTTGTGTTCACATTGTAATTTATCACTGGAGGAAGTTAGGACAGGAACTGACACAGGTCTGGAACCTGGAGTCAGAGGCTGCGGAGGGGTGCTGCTTATTTGCTTTGCAAATTATGGTTTGTTCTGCCTGCTTCTTTATAGAACTCGGGAACACCAGCCCAGGGATGGCATCACCCCCAATGGGCTGGGCCCTCCCCCATAAATCACCAATGAAGAAAATACCACACAGCTGGATCTTACGGAAGCACTTTCTCAATTGAGATTCCCTCCTTTCAGATGACTTTAGCTTTTGTCAACTTGACTTATAACTAACCAGTATACCTTCCCTCCCTCATTTCTTCTCTCCATTGTGTCTCTTCACCAATTCTCTTCTTTCCCATCCCTTCTCTTTTTCTTCCTTCCCCCTTTTCTTACTTCCCTGAAGTTTATTTTTCTTTATATACAAAATATATATCATTTATTTATTTGTGTGTGATCATGTGTGTAAGCAGTTGTGCCATGGAGCATGTGTGGCTATCCAAGAACAACTTGTGGTCATTAGCTCTCTTCTTCTATCATGTGGGTCCTGGGGATCAAACTCAGGCCATTCATTAGGTTTGACAACAAATGCCTTTACCCACTGAGCCATCTTGCTGGCCCCAGAAATTTGTTTTTCTCAGTAAAGCACTCAGGCCTCTTTTAAAGCCATCCAATGATTGACTGTCAGTAGCTGTAGTTGGAGAATGGTTAAGAATTGTATTCAGGACACCAATCTGTCAGGTTTGCATGCAGCATGCTTGTTACTGTCCTCATGTACCCTAGTTGCCAGTGGTGAATAGTGTGGTGTTTGCAGCAGCTAGGAGACAGTGAGCCTCGAGTTCCTCCAAGTCTTTGGGTGTTTGGCTTCCTTGGCAGAGGAATATTATTTCTGTGGAGTAAGCAGGGCCACATCTCCAGTGTGCTGCAGCATCAACGCTGTAGACGGGAAAGGGACCCCAGGGTTGGTGGTTGCTCGGTCTGTTTATGAGCTTGGCCTGCAGCTTAGGCCAGCCACTCACAGGGAAGCCTCTGTACTCTCGGCTTCCTGGTAATTCTGTACTGAGAATGTTTTCATTTGTTGTGCTGCCCTTTACGAGTCATGCTCTCTTTCCTTTCCCAGTGTTATGCTTTTAGAGCCTTGCGGTTTCTCTTCAGTATGGAAAGAAACAGGCCGCTCTTTAAAAGGTACGGGCTTGGGGCGATGTGGGCGATGCCTAAGCTGAAGCTCTTGTTCAGCCAGCCTGCTTTCACACTCTTGACTCAGGACGGTGGGAAGACAATGCTTTCATGCCAGCCATACCTTTCCAGACTTCCCAGACTGCGCAGATTTCACAGCTCCTGCAGCCACCTCATAGGTCATGTGACCACTGGCTGCATCAGTACGACTTCTCCACAGACCATGTAACTGCTGAGGCTCTGGTTTTAGCGAAAGATATTAAGATCTTGAAAGGATAGAATCAAAGCACCTACTTGGTTTTGACCATTAAGAAATTCCAAAGTTAGTCTGGTCATTTCCCCTTACAAACCAAGAGTTTGTTTAGGTGCCCCCGGTAGGCTGGGGACCAGGGCTGGGCCAGAGGTGAGTGGTGAGTCTGGAAAACACAGGCCCTAGGAATCGGCACATTACACAGGGGAGCATGCGCACCAGTCAGACAAGTCTAGGTTCACAGGCTCACCACAACTTTATTGATAAGGGAAGTCTGGACACCATATCAAATCCTTTGCTGAGAATGCATGGATCACTCTACGTTGTTTGTTGCTATGATATATGAATTTAGGGGGAAAGAAGGGAAAATTATTTTTTATAAATTTTCGTTTCATGGATCAAAGCCATCCATTTTGGTGAACCCAAACATTTTAAGAGGTCATTGAAGCTAGTACTTTGTAAATGCAAAATTCTCTCCATTTTTTCAATTACCAGTATTTTATTTAAAAAAAAAAAAAACATTTAAAAATTAAGAGAATATTTACATCCTGGAGCTAAATTTAGAACTGTCACAAATGATTTGATATACATGCTAAGTCCTTAGTCAACACCCAACAAATATCCTCTTTGAATATGCTTATTGTCTGTACCCCCAAATAAGTTACAACAAGGCCTCTGTATAATGTTTCAGCTACATTGTCTTTTATTGCCATAGAAACAGATAATGTGAGCTCCATGCCTCCCCAGTTCTAAGTGCAGTGCAGGTAACTACAGCGCAGTGCTGTTCAGCAGAGCTTTAGAACATTGCTTACTCTGCAGGAACTACAACTACAGTGTAAATTTGCATGATAAGCCAGAGCATATTATTTCTTTACTCTGCTGATAGCCTAATGAAGTTGGATTTGTTGCTAGGGTTAGTTGGTGAGTGAGCTGCATCTGAAACAAAAGCAAAGACTCATTGTTCCCAAGCTCCGAAGTAAGTGTGTGTGTTTCTCTGTAGACTTTTCCCCACCGACCTGTTTGAGATCTTCATTGACATAGGACATTATGTTCGTGATATCAGTGCTTACGAGGACTTGGTATCACAGTTGAATTTACGATTGGTAAGTCTTGAGTTTTCATTATTTGGGCAGGCTGCTCTATGGTCAGAATAACAGCAACCTGTTTGTCTTTTATGATATGGTTAGGAAGATGAACTGAAGCAAATTGCTGAGAATATTGAAAGCATCAATCAGAAGAAAGCACCGTTGAAGTACATAGGCGACTATGCTGTGTTGGACCATCTTGGAAGCGGAGCTTTTGGCTGTGTTTATAAGGTGATTCTGTCCTAGGATACAGTTCTCGTGTTTCAAAACAAACTTGAAACCACACTTGGATGTCTACACTCATCTTAAATGGAGCCCTTGTCATTGAAAACCGGAGGATAAGTAGAGATAAAAATGAGAATGGTTGTTTTTGTCCAACTGGGAGCAGTAACTCTGCGGGTGTTGCCCTGGCTCTCAGCTCTAGTAACTGCTCACCCACTGAGACAGGGCATCCTTTAACTATCACAATAAAATGGTCAAAATAGCTTGTCCCAGTGCACGGCATACTTTATAAATGTACACCAGTGTTTCTGCACCTTTGCAGTGAAATCCTACCGAGTACTGAAGCAGGGACCAGACCAGAAGATAACAGATTTCTGAGCTCAGCTTAGTGTAAAGGCAGCTAGACTCTCATGCTATGGCTTGGTTAGCTGTGTGCTTTTGTTATTCTAATTAATCTGTCTTTGCCTTACCCTCAGTTCTCATCAGAGTATTTAATTTTTTTTCTCTTATTTTAGGTTAGAAAGCGTAGTGGTCAAAATCTTTTAGCAATGAAGGAGGTCAATTTACATAACCCAGCATTTGGGAAGGATAAGAAAGACCGGGATAGCAGTGTGAAGAACATTGTTTCTGAATTGACGATAATTAAGGAGCAGGTAATATGTGTCTTATTTCTGCAATGCCTTGGACATAAATGTCACTGAAGCTGAGCTATTCTGCATTTCCTTCCACACTGTTATAAACCAGTTCTGTGTAAAACAATGGACATTGGTGCAGTGGTGTTTTTATCTGTGTTTTCCACAAAGCTTGTTATTGAGCCATGGAAACTCTTTTAGGAGTTTATAGCAGGACCTTGGATGCAAAACAATCGAGCTTACAAGCAGGACACAGCATATGTGAGAAGCCCTTCTGTCTTCGTTATGAGCATAGTCAGTGCTTAGCTGCTGTACTGTTGCACAAGAGTAAGAGAAAGACACCCCAAAGTCAGTGCTTGACTATGGAGCTGCTGCACAGGAGTAGAAGAAAGATACCCCAAAGTCAGCGAGTGCTTCGCTATGGAGGTATTGCACAGGGATTTGAGAAAGATATCCTCAACTTCAAGTACAGCCAAACTGCTGACATTCTTCAACTTTGGCTTATTAAATGTAAAATGTGGGTTTTATTTCCTTTCTCTTTTCTAGAGTAGGCATTTGGTAGTCTAGGCTGGTCTCAAGCCAAGGACGACCTTGAGCTCTCCCTTCTTATGACCCCCTGTCCTCAGTGCTGGGATTAAAGGTGTGCCTCACTATGCCAGTGCTGTTTTTATTAGCACTAGCAGTATATGGTGGGCTGATGTAATAGCTCAATTAGTTGTTATTATGAAGGATTATTTGAGAAAAAGACACGGAAGAGAATGGGGTTTCTTTTTGTGATCCATGAACAAGCTGCCTTTGTTTCCAGTTCTCCTTATTCATAAATTTTCTTTATTTAAGCCCTAGAAAATGTTCAGCCTCACTTTTCTTTGCATTCATATCTGATCAGTGTCTGGTTGAAGCACAAACATGGTCTTTATTCATTGAAACCTACAGTCTGACATCACTAAGTTACAATAAAATTCATTAGTAATGGCATTGTTGACATTTACACTTTAATGGACTAGGTTATAAAGTAGTCATCCATCATTCCACAAAGTAATCATATCCTGACTGTACCAGCTTTGAATGTGACTTTCATCTGAGTCCATCTAATGCTTTGAGTAAGTCCCTAAGCTGGATGTGCCCTTGCTCATGAGCTAAGGCTTGGTCCCACATGCCTTAGAGCTAGGGTCACTTGATATATATAGATACACACACACACACACATATATATATAAGTATATAAAATATATTATATTAATATATTTATGTTATAAATACACAGCATATATATTTATATCTGATTCAGGTACTGATTTGTTTAAGTGCATTTCCTAAGAAAAGGCGAGTGAGGATGCCTCTGCTTAGACTTTGAGGTCACTGATGATTGTATACTTGCTCCCTCACTGTGGGAACAGGTCGTCTGAGCCTAAAAGAAGGAAGTAATGGATTAAGGAAGCAGGAGAAACAGGCTGGAATGGGGGATCCTATTTGTTAAGAGATGATGATCAACCTGCAGTGCCAGAGAGGCTCCACACTGGCAGGCTTATAGAAGTGGCCTCACACCACAGTGGGTCTCCTTTCTTACAAATAACAGTCCTGAGGGCGTGGGACAAGTTGGTGTTATTCATTCCCTGTTCCATGCATCTCCTGGTGACACCTTCTACTGCTACTGGCTGTGAGCCTGCTGAGTTTTCATGAGTAGCAGCTAGAGGGGCCACACAAGGGTGCAAACCAGGTAAAGCATAAGGGCAATTCTTTTGAAGTGAGACCTTACCCAGAAACCACATTTTAGATAAGAAGTTGCAAACATTTCACAACAGTTTTCTCTTTTTAAGCAGGTCCCCCTCCACGTGTAGTTGAGGCCCAACAGGGCAGAGCATGCTAAAGGAGTTGTTAAGGAACCGTTTAGTCCCCGAATTCTCCATTTTATGTTAGGAAGTACAGTTGAAAGGACCAGGCCTAACCTCCTCCCCCAAAAGTCATAAGTCCCAGAAACCAGGCCATAAAATTTCCTACCCAAGGAACAGCCTGAGGATAACCACAAGAATGGGAAGGTAGTTTATCTCAGGGTGGGGCATCTGTGCTGGGCAGCCCACTGTCCTAACATTCCTAACATTCCTGAGGTCTATAGATAGCTCGCTCAAAGTTAGTTATGTTAGCCAATCACTGTGTAATAAGCTTGCCCTTGCTAAATGTCATCCAATTGTGTAACTGCTAAGCTGGGAATTCCCTGGTCTTGCTCACACCCCAAATAAAAACCCTGCCCTGCAGCTGCTAGGGGCTCTCCTTTCTGATCCACTGTGATGGAGAGACCGTGCTTAAGCCTGAATAAAGCTCTTTGCTCTTGCATACTTGGTCCAGCCCCTGGTGGTCTTTGGGGACCTTAAGATCTGGGCATAACACAGTGACCTCTAGCCTCATTCACAAAAGCATGGAGGACATTGACATTTCATTCACTTAAAAGCAATAAATTTTAAAAAGGCATCAAAATCTTAAATGGTAGGGGACAGTCTTAGACTTAGCCATAACTTACAAAATGTAAATAATCATGAAAAAAACCCTTGTGTTTTGAAACATTCTGATAAATGTTAACTGTTTACTTCCTTACAGCTTTATCATCCCAACGTTGTACGTTATTATAAAACATTTTTGGAAAGTAAGTATGAATTGTGTTTTTATTTAAGGAAACATATCTTTGTTACTTATACATGCTTATATTGTTGGAAAATAAACTCATTTAACTATTTTCTTTACAATTTTATTATTAAAAAGCATTGCTTTCTTAGGCAGCAAAATAATTTTATAAGTGATGATCTGAAAATAGTTAAAATATTTTGATCCCCATCACATAAAGGCACGATGTGACTAAACCAAAATAATTAAATTATTGTACAAAAAAAAAGGAGTGGATAGGATCAAGAGAAAAAGAAACTAAAGAATGGTGTTTTCTGTTTTGCAAGCTCTTGGCAGTTTGTGGTACATCCAGTGGCATTTTCTATCCCCAAATAAGGCAGGTTGGACTCTGCCTTCCAGATGCATTTTTACTCACAAAATTCAGTAGGTGCCACCAGGTGGCGACGGAGTCCTGGCTGAGCCTACAGGCTGGTTGGCTTGTTTCCTGCCAATGGGATGGAGAGCGCAGCCAAAAATTTAGACAAAGCCACTCAGTCACTTGTTTATAAATGAAGTAAGTATTGAATGCAACAACCTGTAACATAAAATTCCCAAGTATTTCCGTGGGCGGGAAGATTGAGAGCGACGCAGGGAGTAGCTGTGGGGCTCACTTGCCTCTGCTTTGCCAACGCTAATACTAAGCAAACTTTCTGAGGCCTGGAGAGAAGGCTCAGAGGTTAAGAGCACTGGCTGCTTCCAAAGGTCCTAAGTTCAATTCCCAGCAACCACATGGTGGCTCGGAACCCTCTTCTGCTGTGCAGGTGTACATGCAGGCAGAACACTGTATACGTAAATAAATAAATCTTAAAAAAAAGAGACCTTTCTGAGCTAGGTACTATGGTGCGTACCCATAATTCCAGCATTCTGGAGGCAGAGGCAGGTTCTGTGCATCCACGGCCAACCTGGTCTACATAGTGAGTTCCAGGAGAGCCAGGGCTACACAGAGAGACCCTGTGTCAAAAGAAACAAACAAACAAACAAACAAACAAACAAACAAAACACACACACACACACACACACAAAACACAACAAAACATCTTTTATACTGAGGCATTTGTTCTGGTTTTACACATTTCCCTTCTCTATGACTTAGATGAAATCCTGGCTCCGTAACCATTAGTTCTTAATATATAGGTAATTTCCTGTAATTAAAGCAATCAGAATTAGCCTCTGTCTTACATGGAAAAAATAAATACAAGTCATCACAAAACCAAAACACCTTAAAATCCTAACAGCTTCTGAAATGAATTGGAGGTAACTTAGAATATGTAAAATATGATAATCAGGCTATAAACTACAATGAAGAAGGCTATAAGTGAAGAAATGCAAATAAAGCTGTAATTACATTACAATTGCAGACAATACGTACGTACCTTTTGGTATTGTGAAACTTTAGAGCTTTAACTGTAAGAGAGACATTAAATAACAGGATTTATCCATGATTTGCAGTCCCATGAGAGCCAACAGGAGGCGCAGTATGCATGCTTTCATGATGCAATGTAAGGTTGTGATGGAGAAGTCAGCTGAACGGCAGTATGGGATGTGTCTGTTCTTTGCAGATAAATTGTTGCATGTGTATATTTTGTGTATATCCAACAGTCAGAAAAGACCTTTGCCACATAGCATTGTTAATAGTTCAGATTGGCTTTAGAGGAGGGTTGGCAAAAATGAACAGCAACAACAGCAACAAAAAAAAACCCAAAAAGCGTTAGTTAACAGAGTTTTGTAAACCATAAACTGGAATCAGAGTTCAGGGCTTCCTGCTCAAGAGGGACTGAATAGTGGTTTCTGTCATGGGTGGTGCTAGGATAAGTTTCTATGATATAATATATGTAACTGTATGAAATGCAGTTTCTAATGTGGTTTTCTTACTATTCATTTACTTATTTATTTATTCATTTACTTATTTATTTATTCATTTACTTATTTATTTATTTATTTATTTATTTATTTATTTATTTATTTATTTATTTATTTATTATTTTAATCACAGGTCATTCACTTGTATCTCTCCCTCTTTCCCTCCCAATCCCACCCTCCCTCCCTCATCTCCTCCCTGCCCCCTTCTGAGTCCACTGATAAGGGAAGACTGACTTTAATGCCCTTATCTGTGGCCTAGCAAGGCTGCTCCTCCCTCGGGCAGGGGTGGGGGGTGGGGAAGCTCAATGAGCCAGTCATGGAGTTCAAGTTTCTGACTATCTGAAATGATCTGAGGTACTGCCTCAGATGACTTGGAACAGCCGGCTTGTTGTCTTTGCCTCCTTCCAGCCATTCCATGGCATGCACAGAAATGATTACATTTGCCAGACGGGGAAAATTTGGGGTCAGAGGAAGTTGCTGCTGGGTTGTCATGGCCCCAAGGCCAGCTCTGTGCTCCATCAGAGTTCACTGGATCTTGCCATGAAGTTTTCAGTTTTGTGCTGCACACAGTTTGGGAAGCCCGGGCTCTAAGTTGTGAAGCTGTTCCAGGCTTGTGTGTTGACTTTAAGTTTCTGTGACCCTTTTGTTCTTTTGCATAGGTGACAGGTTGTATATTGTTATGGAGCTAATAGAAGGAGCCCCGCTGGCAGAGCACTTTAGTTCTTTGAAGGAAAAACAGCACCGTTTCACTGAAGAAAGACTGTGGAAAATATTTATACAGGTACGTTGCACCTTTCATTGAAATCTTCATTCTACAACAAGGTTCTGAGTTGCCTTAGAGATGTGCCATTGGTTATGTATACAACGTGAACCAAATTTGCTTTTATTCTTATTTCAAGCTGTGCTTAGCTCTTCGGTATCTACACAAGGAGAAGAGGATTGTCCACAGAGATCTGACCCCAAACAACATCATGCTGGGAGATAAGGACAAAGTGACAGTTAGTAAGTATACGGGTCTTCAACTTTTTAATGGAAAGATTTCTGAATATTAGTCCAGAGTAGAACCATACTTCAGGGCTGTGCTTTACGGTCAGTAGAACTCTTGGTATGGATGAAAATGTTCTCTCTGAGTTGTCCAGTGGCGTGAGGACTGAGCATGTGATACTTTTGGGCAAGTGGAAGGCAGCCTGTGTGGCTAAGGAAATGACCTCTTAGATTTTATTAAATTTGGAGCTGAGTGTACGGATGCACACTGTGTAACTCAGCCCTTGGAAAGCGGAGGCAGGTAGATCTGGAGTTCAAGACCTACTTCAAGCTACATAGTAAGTTTGAGGCTAACCTATACCAGATGACACCCATGATCAAAAGCAAACAAACAAACAAACAAACAAACAAACAAACAAACAAAGTGCTTCTGTTAAATTTTAATTACTTCCCACATCCACGAGAGAATAATGTTCCCACAATGTTGGACAGCGACGATGCTGTTCCAATAACTCTGTTGGCCCTATGAGAGAGTACAGTACTCTTAGGATGCTTCTCTGTTAAATTTAATCCCTCAATTAATGCCTCCTGAGTTTTTCTTTCTACTTCATAGGCAGAAGCTTTGATGATTAAGCACGATGCTTTGAACCACTTTATCACAGCCTGTCTTACAGTGGTCAGACTCCCAGGCCTATAAAAGTACATCAATTTATATTCTTTGACACGAATTGTTTCTTTGTTTGGCATTTTCATCTGTAGCAGGAAGACATGTAACAGTAGGGCAAAGTTCATTAAGACAGGACATGGTGGCATACACCTTTAATCTCAGCACTGGAGAGGCAGAGGCAGGTGGATTTCTTTGAATATGAGACCAGCCAGGCCTATGTAAATCCTGTCTCCAAAAAATAAATGAATAAGTAAAAAAAATAAAATCATCCTAAATTACCGCTACATTTTTCTGACTCTCCGTGGTGAGCTACTTTTTAGTTTAGAATGGTGTATTACCTTTCTTCTGTTTTTTTTTCCTGAGCTTTTCTTGTTGAGTATTTAGGGTTCAGTAGCTACAAAGGGGAGGCCCTTTTCCCATAGACTTGTCCGTCTCTATACAGTTTGATTCTGAGATACCTACAGGAAAAGATTGTTTAGGCTTATCTATGTATTACTGTGGGAAGATGCTGCAGAACACAGCAAGTTCTACATGAATGGATGATAAAAGGATTCATTTAAAAATAAGAGGAGGTTATATAAAAATATTCATGTATGTACATGTACATACATATATGTATTTGACAACACTTAGTGACTAAAAGAGACCATGGATTTGAAAGAAAACAAAGAGCGGGTATATGGAAGTTTTTGGAGGGAGGAGAGGGAAGGAGAAAGTGATGTAATTAAAAATCTCAAAAAAAATTAACAAAATAACTAGAACTAACAAAAAAGCTATTTACCTTTCAGTAGATAGTTTAGACACCAGTTTGTAGGCCACAGCCCTGAGTGCTCCCCGATGGCAGGGACTTTCAACGTGTCACTTGCTTTCTGGACATAATAAGTACCCCTAAGGCCATTCCAAATGGATGCTTTCCTTACCCACACGTGTTTACAAATCAAGATTGAAATTTATTGGCCAGGTTTTCAAAAATAGAAATACTGTGTTTGTTTAAAAAAATAAAACCAACTTAAAATAGAAACTCTTTAGGTAAACCTTCAGTGCAAACTCACTTGGAAATATTTTCTTTCTTTTTTTAAATTTCAATTTATTTTTTAATAATTTATGCACTTTATATCCTGATTATAGCCCCCTTCCTTGTCTCTTCCAGGTCCCACCCTTCCTCCCTCTTTTTCCCTATCCTTCTCCTCTCTTTCTCAGAAAGGGGGAACCCTCCTCCCTTACCATCTGATTCCAGCCTATCAAGTTTCATCAGAACTGCCTGCATCCTTTTCCTTTGTGTCCTGGCAAGGCAGTCCCACCAGGGGGAAGTGATCAAAGAGTGCAACAGAGACCATGTCAGAGACAGCTAGCCCCCTTACTAGGGAACCCACATAGACATTGAGCTGCCTATCAGCTACATTTGAGCAGGGTATCTAGGTCCTCTCTATGCATGCTCTTTGGTTGGTGCATCAGTTTCTGCAGGCCCCCATGGGCCCAGATTTGTTGATTCTGTTTGTCTTCTTATGGAGTTTCTATCTCCTCCAGGTCCTTCTATTTCCCAAGTCTTTCCTAGGACTACCTATGCTCTGCCCAAAGTATGGCTGTGAGCCTTAGCATCTGCTGTCAATCCCTTGCTGGGTAGAGTCTTTCAGAGAACATCTATGGTAGGCTCTCATCCTGTTCCCTCTCTTCAACTACTTCTGGTATCTATTCTAGTTCTCCCTCTGAATGAGAAATAAGTATCCTCCCTAAAATCCTCCTTGTTATTTAGCTTCTTTAAGTCTGTAGACTTTAATATGGTTATTATATGGCTAATATCCACTTATAAATGAGTATAAACCATGTATGTCTTTCTGGTTCTGGGATACCTCACTCAGGATGATCTTTTCTAGTTCTTAATTTGCCTGCAAATTTCATGGTTTCTTTGTTTTTAGTTGCTGCGTAGTATTTCATTGTGTAAATGTACCACAATTTCTGTATCTATTCCTCAGCTGAAGGACACCTGGGTTGTTTCCTGATTCTGGCTGTTAGGAATAAAACTGCTACAAACATGGTTGAGCAAATGTCCTTGTTGAATGGTGGGGCATCTTTTGGGTATATGCCTAGGAGTGGTATAGCTGGATCTTGAGGAAGCACTATTCCTAATTGTCTAAGAAAGTGCCAGATTGATTTCCAAAGTAGTTGTAGAAGTTTACATTCCCACCAAAAATGGAGTAGGGTTCCTCTTTCTCCACATCCTCTCCAGCATGTGTTGTCACTTGAGTTTTTGATTTTAGCCATTCTGATGGGTATAAGGTAAAATCTCAGGGTCGTTTTCATTTGCATTTCCGTGATGACCAAGAATGTTGAACACTTTTTTAAATGTTTCTTTGCCATTCAATATTCCTCTGTTGAGGATTCTCTGTTTAGTTCTGTAACCCATTGGATTATTTGGTTTGTTGGAGTTTAATTTTTTGAGTTTATATATTTTGGATATTAGCCCTCTTTCAGATGTAGGGTTGGTGAAGATCTTTTCTCAGTCTATAGGCTGCCATTTTGTTCTGTTGACAGTGTCCTTTGCTTTACAGAAGCTTTTCAGTTTCATGAGGTCCCATTTATTAATTGTTGATCTTAGATCCTGAGCTGTTGGTGTTCTGTTCAGGAAGTTGTCTCCTGTGCCAATGAGTTCCAGGCTCTTTCCCATTTTTTTCTTCTAGTACATTTAGTGTGTCTAGTTTTATGTTGAGGTCTTTGATCCACTTGGATGTTAGCTTAGTACTGGGTGATAAATATGGATCTATTTGCATTTTTCCACATGTAGATATCCAGTTAGACCAGCATCATTTGTTGAAGATGCTGCCTTTTTCCATCGTAAAGTTTTGGCTCCTTTGTTTGTAGATGTGTGGACTTATTTCTGGGTCTTCAATTTTATTCCATTTATGCACCATTCTGTTTCTATGCCAGTACCATGCAGTTTTTATTACTGTTGCTCTATAGTACAGCTTGAGATCAGGGATGAAGATAACTCTAGGGATGAAGATATTTTATCGTACAGGATTGTTTTAGCTATTTTTTTTGTTTTGTTTTGTTTTTCCATATGAAGTTGAGAATTGTTCTTTTTTTCCATTTTTTTTATTATTTTTTTACACTTTATTCACTTTGTATCCCCCATAAGCCCCTCCCTCCTCCCCTCCCGATCCCACTTTCCCTCCCCCTCCTTCACACATGCCCCTCCCCAAGTCCACTGATAGGGGAGGTCCCCCTCTCTTTCCTTCTGATCTTAGTCTATCAGGTCACTTCCAGAGTGGGTGCATTGTCATCTTCTGTGGCCTGGCAAGACTGCTCTCCCTTCAGGGGGAGGTGATCAAAAAGCAGACCTATCAGATTGTGTCCGAGGCAGTCCCTCTTCCCATTACTATGTAACCCACTTAGACACTAAACTGCCATGGATTACATCTGCGCAGGGGTTCTAGGTTATCCCCATGCCTGGTACTTGGTTGGAGTATGGGTCTCCGGTAAGACCCCTGTGTTCAAATCTTCTAGTTCTCTTGCTCTCCTTGTGGGGTTCCTGTCCTCTACAAGACCTACTATTTCCCACTTCTTACATAAGATTCCATGTACTCTGCCCAACAGTTGGCCTTAAAGTCACAGTGTCTGCTTTGATAGTCTGCAGGACAGAGCCTTTCAGATGCCCTCTGTGGCAGGTTCCTAGGTTGTTTCCTGCTTTCTTCTTCATCTGATGTCTATCCTCTTTGCCTTTTGGGATGGGGATTGAGTGTTTTAGTCAGGGTCCTCTCTCTTGATTAGTTTCTTTAGATGGACAGATTTTAGGTTTATCCTATAAGTCTATATGAATGAGTATATACAGTGTGTGTCTTTCTGCTTCTGGGACAGCTCACTCAGGATGATCCTTTCCAGGTCCCACCATTTACCTACAAATTGCATGATTTCCTTATTTTTCATTGCAGAGTAATACTTCATTGTGTAGATGTACCACAGTTTCTGCATCCACTCTTCAGTTGAGGGGCATCTGGGCTGTTTCCAGCTTCTGGCTATAACAAATAAGGCTGATACAAACATGGTTGAGCAAATGTCCTTGTTGTGTACTTGAGACTCTTTTGGATATATGCCTAGGAGTGGTATGGCTGGATCTTGAGGAAGCGCTAGTCCCAGTTGTCTGAGAAAGCGCCAGATTGACTTCCAGAGTGGCTGGACAAGTTTACATTAGTTTCCCCTTTCTCCAAAACCTCTCCAACAGGTATTGTCACTTGAGTTTTTCATCTTGGCCATTCTGATGGGTGTAAAGTGAAATCTCAGGGTTTCTTTGATTTGCATTTCCCTAATGGCTAATGAGGTTGAGCATTTCTTCAAGTGTTTCTCTGCCATTCGA